CAATAGAAAAAATATATAAAATTATGAGAATCAGAGTAGGAAAATTTACAAACTACAAAACAACTTTCAATTATAGTAAAAACTGCTTGAATCAAAAAGTAAAAAAAAAACAGTTTTTAAAAAGCCACTTGAAATACTGTATTTAAATTGCATTTGAAAAAAAAGGAAAATCAGCCGAAAGAAATTAGGCTGAAAAACACAAATCCGAAAAAAATCAACATTTTATCAAACATTATTTACCACTCCAAGAGAAGTTAAAAGTAGTTTTATTAGAACTGATGAGCATGTCACTCTGTGAGCAATTCAAAAAGTGTAAAAAACGGGAGAAAAGTCTAGTTCCCGATTACAAGTCACTTGCTCACGCTAGTGGAAAAAATGGAGCACACAAACAATTTTAAAAATACAATTGAACCAAAATCGTTGAGAAAATTAAAAAATCACAACGCACTAAACCAAAAAAATGAGCGCCAAAGCGAAAGGACTTGAAAACAAAATAAATGAACAAAAACAAACATTTCAAAAAAATACAGAGGATTAATTAGATGTAGCATTCGACTATCAAATATAAAAACTAACGGAAAGAAATGAGAAAAAAAATGAACCTGTATTAAAAATAACGAAAACAACTAAAAATGACATTGCAAAATAATAAACTTATCCAAATTATGAGTAAGCTAAATTCAACAATTTTTGAACTTTTTTCTGATTTGATAACACTCCAAGCTGCCTAAATCTTTGTACACAGTTAAAATGGCTAGAAATGTAGGCTAGAAAGCAATGAAAAAACTATCAAAAGCATGCAATTGTTTACAAAAATAAACGAAATTAAGTTTTAAAAAAGCGCAAAAGCTCATGAACTCAGCAACCTGCTTCAAAATTTATATATGATCATTCGGCACATAAATTCAATTTTTTTGAGCCAGATTATAAATTATTTTTGTGAAACCATTTGAAACGACAAAACTAATTTAAAAAAAAACGATTTTTTTTTTCATTTTCAAATAAAAGAACTTGTGAAGTAGGTTTTGATCTTTTGAAAACTTCAAGTAAGAGTTGAATCCATCTCAAATAATATAACTGAAAACTGATTGAAAAAAAGGAAAAAGCCAACAGATCTATAGCCAAAAAACGTACCAAAAAATTGCATACAAAATAATCACATCGTAATAACGCTTGTCATTACAGACATGGCATCAAGTAAATATCATCTATACATAGAGCACCTTATCAAGTTTGATATTCTTAAATTTCATCATTCCAAAGAAGTCTAAAAACAGGTTGCAATAATATTGCTTATAGCAAAGGTTATCAACAAAAGGAAGCAGAAAAAAAACATCACTTTTAAGCACTTTAAATTTCATTTTTTTGTTATGTTTTCATTCATTATGAAATCTTAAATTTAAAAACAAATTTTTAAACTTCAAATTGTTTACAATTTTTTGCTGCCTTTGTAGTTAATAGGGCTTATTTTTTTGCATTTGAAATGAAATTGAAATAAAGTTTAGAACAGAGGCGAAGCTGCGTTTCGCAAACACTAGCGAGAACACTACAAAAAGCAGCACTAGAGTTCTAAACAGAGCAATACGAAAAAGTAAAAATGAGCCTCTCATTAGTAAAAAAATCGGCGACGTCTCGGACTCAACCTACGACCTACTGGGACCTAGAAATTATGAAACTCACGCACTAACCACTCACCCACGGATGCTTAGTCCATAACAAACACAAGCCACAAATAAAGCCGAGAACAGATGCTATGGATATTCCAATGCTGCAGATGGTGATTATAGCAAAAAGGCACAGAAGTGATCAGTTCTAACGAACAAATTTATTTGCGAGTTAGCTAAGAAAAAAAAGGAACACTAGCTACTCCCTAGCGTAAAAAAAGTTGAACCAAGAACAATTAAGAGCCATAAAAACTGTTGACTTGCTACCGAAAAGGAAAAAACCCAAATAAAGACAAAATTTCATAAAAAATAAGCCTGTCAAGTAAAATATTTTTTTTTGTTGGCGTTCAATCAGGCGCGGATCTAGGATTTTTTCGAGGGAGGGGCAGATTTTCAAATAAAACTCGAAAGTCTTGACCTTTGTTTCGTAGTCGACCAAAGTGATTCTCTGAGCTCTTCCAAATCATTACCTTTTTTCGGCCAAATTTTCTAAGCCGCAGAAAATTTAAAAAAAAAAAACAGTCCACAAAAAGCGTTTTATGGGAACTTTTAGGAAAATATTGACCAACAAAACTCGCTTTTTCAATACACGCCACAAATAAATCAGACAAAAACAAAAGTTTAAAACCCCCATAACTTTGATGAAAATATTTTTTCATTTTGAGCTCATGTCATACTTTTAGATGAAATAGCCAATTATTGTACCAGCCTAATCGATATTCTCAGCTTGTTGATTATATCATTTAGCTCTGAATTGTAGCCATATATATTATTATTAAACACTATAAATCAATAAAATCTTAATTACAATTTTTCAAACACAAGCTAAGCCATTAGAAATTTTAGTCCATTTTCAGGCGCCTCTAAACTTAGGTTTTCAATTAACGTGCAGAAGTGACTGCCTAGAAAAAAATAATCGAAAATCATTTTCCGCTGCATTTAAACCTCAGCACTATATTAGGTCCGCTTTTTTAATTACGCAAACCGAAAACAAATCATCTTCTTAGCTTAACCAGTATCTATTTTTATATGCTATCAAAAGTAGTTGGGAAAAATTCTATTATATGCTATCAATAGACTGTTGAAAAACGTCAATGAACACAGTGAAAAAAAGGTTTGCTTTTGAAAAGCTTCAACTTTCGAATTTAAAAGAAAAAAACATGGCCTTTGGAACTTCAAGAACAAATTATGATCGACACTTTGTTAATAAAATTAACCAAATTTGATAGAACTGGATCAATAGGTAAATTTTTTTAATCCGCTGGGAAATCTGAAAAACAAAATCCAATTTCGAAACAAGAAGTCGATCAAGTTTTTGTACCCTTCACTTCTGCTGTTCGACAGGCCAGTTTGTCTTTTTTTCAATAAATTGCAAAAAATGAACATAAAAAGAAAACAGAAGTCAAAACGCGAAAAATCAAATTTGCGCATGAACAAATTCAAAAAAATCCGGAGAAAAATGTTCATGACCTTAATAACAGAACAATAAAAATATAATTAATTTATAGGAACTGTTCAATACAGACCTGATAAAAATTTAAAAAAAAACGATTGAATTTAGATTCATTTTCAAATTTTTTAACTCAACATTACCAAACAAATCGTTTTCCAAAAACAATTGGTTAATTTACTTCCGCTTGGGTTGCTTCTTGAACAGGTTAAATCATCCGGTAAAAATTTGAGACACAGTCAATTAATTGTGATTCTTGTTCGAGCTCTTGGAGAATATTTCGAAAAATTTATCATTATTTATCATTATTTGCAGGTAGGTTTTGGGTTATTTTGCTTGAAAGTTTGTCCGATTCAAGAAAAGAGTTATGTACTCATTTTTGACTCAGTGAGAATCAGACAGAGGCGAAGCAGAGCTTTGCACCATCTGAGATACAACATGAAAAAAGCAGTGCAGGCACGCAGACAGGAAAAATGAAAACACTAAGTCCAAAAAAAAAACTTTACAAAAATCATGAAGTATCATTTGCGAAAAAGACGTCCTGAAAGACAAAAGAAAACAATTAAAGAAAATTCAAAAAATAATTAACAGGCAGCAACTGAGGCGACGAAGCTTACTGAACCGAAGAAACTGAGCCGATGAAAATAATTTCCAATAGAAACGAAAACAATTTTTTTGTCACAAAAAACGTATGCTTCCTTTGAATCGATCCCCAAATTAGGCGAATCAGCCGGTAAAATATAATCCGAAATCATTAGTGCCGATTAAAGTTTTTAAGCGGAAAAAACAGCAAATTATACGAAGTCAAGGATACTAAAAATGAAAATTGCAGAAGTAATTCAAAACACTGAAACCAACTACGTTAAACGATAACTTCAAAATAAAAATACAGATTCAAGAGAAATTATCTTTTAATGCGTCTAAATTAATTCAATTATGTTTGAATTGAAAAATGCTTAAAAACCTTAGCTAAGGTGATTATGAGAACAAAATTGCAATCAATGTCAAAAAACTTTTGAGTCAACTTAATGCGTTGTTTGGTTTGAAGCAAATTTTACAGAAGTTATTTTGTAAATTAATTACCACGGTCAAGGGCGGATCTAGGATTTTCTCGAGGGGGGGGGGGGCGGATTTTTAAAAAAAATATTCGAAAAGTTTGTCTACTTATTTTTAGGTCGACCAAATTAATTTTCTGAGCTTTCTCAAAGCACTATAAAGACCCTGGTTCGGCTTTTTAGGCACTTTTTGGAAAATGTTGACCAAAAATTGCATTTTTTTGGCGCGCGCTCCCCCTCAAAATTAGTATATATTGGCGCCCAAGGCGCCTTTACAAAAAATTTTAGGGTCAGTCATCAAAAATGGATATCTCAAAACAGTACAAAGGGGGACCCTTTGAGCCGGCAGGAGCTCGAATCCCTGAGGGAGGGGGACGTTTTGAAATATTTAGCACACTATTAGTCATACATTTCTGCGGCGCAGGCGAAATTTTGAGAAAACAAGCCTGAACTTTTGGCAAAGAAATAGCTTTTCTGCTCGCGATCCCCCTTAACATATTGGTGCCAAACGCTCTTTTCCAAAATTTTCTGCACTAAGTAAAACCGTACTTAATAGAAAACCAGATAGACCATGACAGAAGATAATATATACCTGACTCTTCGTTTAAACCACCTAGAAAACGATCCATACACATTTGTAACCTAACGCTTAAAACTTCATTTTCATTTCATTAACAATAACCGGAGAACGTAATATATGAGAAATAAAAAACGTCTAAAATCCTTTCAGTTTCAGTTTGTATCTACTATCTCGTCATAGATTTTTCAACAAACAAAAACTGCCATAGCTTGCTTAGAATATTTTAGTATCGGCTTGTTTTAGCAACTTACACGACGGATGACGCTTCTGTGATATCCGTGATGGCTCTGTGAACAGGAGTAGTTAAGAACTGGCGCTCGGTCTCAAAGTCCTCAGAATTTTCCTCGGCCGACTTGAATCTGGTCGGCAACTCATAGTCGTGCACTCGCCCCGAGTCTGTTTCGTGGTTCCTATTCTCTGATGTGGTTTGCAGTAGCTCTTCTCCTCCGATCTTTGCGATCGGACGAACATACATGCTGTTATTGAAACTGACTCGCCGTTTCTTCCCACCGGCATCTGTACTAGTCGTTTCATCCAACAGTCCACAAATAGAACTCTCGTGCGAATTGGTGATGGTTGCATTGGCTTTCAAAATTGAACGTCGCCGACCCATTTTAACATGAGCTACGAAGATCGCGATTTATAAATGCCCGTAACAAAATATCTGAAACAAAACATTTCCTTATTTTGATATTCAGTAGCAAAAAACGGACAAATTGAATTACAACAGCATTTTCAACTTGAAAGGAGCAAATAAAGAGGAGTAATATATATTGGTTATTCAACCGTCCTATGAAACTAAAGATTAAAGGTGTTCCGAACTGGATAATTGCTATAAATGTCAAACTTGAAAACAATCGGGCAATGTCAAAGTAAAGTTCAATTCCTAAAAAAATCCAGGAGGGGGAGGGAGGTTGTTGTGTTGCAGGTAACAGGTCCTAACTGCCTCCCAATTCAGAGCCCCAAACTATCCTCGATCCTGAAAACGACTGACAACTAACTGCTAGTTTGCACAGCAATTGCTGTTCAATTAACAAATCACAATATTAATTTTGAGCTGAATACTAATGTAGTTCTAGTTTTTCCCATTTGCGGACTGCTTTGTGGAAGCATCACTGCCAGATCCAGAATCTAAAGACTTCATCAGCCTGAATAGAGCTGCAGCTTCTCGGATGCCACTGAACTCAATGCAAAACGCCTGCATCTAAACGCATAATGGAAAAATACGCTAAACCCCTTCCTGGATATGCAATGCAAATATATCCAAAAGACATATGGAAACAGGCAATACGTTCTTGGAAACCAGCAAAAAATGTTTTGATTTTACAACAGATTTACTACGATCACTGACGCTTAATAAACATTCTGCCTATAACTTATGTGCTTCCTACTAGTAAGAGGAAGCTCTAATTTTCTGATAACTAGGTTGCTTTTCTATGTTTAACAGTCAAATGAAACATAACACAGACAATTAGAAAAGAATCATTTAAGCAAGAAAGAAAAAAAAACTGACTGTTTTTTTTTTAAAACTTCAACTTTCGAGTTTCAAAGAAAAAATAAATGGCCCCAAGGCTCTACGAATTTCAAGAACAATTTATGCATGACATTTTTTGATAGGTTAAACCAAATTTGAGACAACTGGATCAAAAGGTTAAGTTTGAATTTCGCTGGGAAATCTGAAATTTAAACTCCAATTTCGAAACTAGAAAACAATCACGTTTTTCGTGACCTTGTACACTTTTGCTGTTCGATTGTGGAGTTTGCCTTCGTTTTAACAAAGGAAATGAACTGAACTTAAAAGAAATCAAAAGTCTACCGCGAAAAATTAAATTTGAACGTGAACTAATTTCCTTACAAAAAATCACCAACCCATAAATAAGAGTTTTCACTACATTCATGACTCTTAAAAATAAAACAACATACCAGCCAGTAAATAACTACTTACTTCAACCATGAGGTCAGAGACATTGACTACTTTATTTCGTATCAGCGACTGTAAAAACACGCACAACAAACGGACCAATCTGTTCTGATGGAACTTGTCTTGAATCGCTTCACAAGTCTGGATGCAGTTCGAAATGTACATGTGAATGAACTCATTCGGTAGCTCAACCTCGTTTGTTAGCCGATTGACTACTTCCATGGAGTGAACTGACATTTCAATGTTCACTAAGGCTTTTAGGAACTCCAGCATTTGGTGCTCACTGCCTTCTCCACTTGAAACCAAAACCTTAAGAAGCAAATCAACAGCGGCCGTCGGGTTGTGCTCTGTGAGCGCGGCAAGATGCCCAACACAGAACCTAAGACCGCTTGTATTTTTCACACTTTTCAATTCATTTTTGATTTCAGCCAACTGATCATTAGACAGCGTAGTTTTGTATGCAGATTCTAGTAGATTTTTCAGATGCGTGCTAACACCAGTAGCATCCGATGATCCAGTGTCGGCGGCCTGATCGGCTTTATTTGAACTATTTTCACTGAAAACTGTATCGTCGAACTGAAACTTGTGCTCACTGTCCAGAGGGTTCATCCAAATCAAGTCACTTCCATCATCGGATTGAAAGACTGGCGGTGGAATTCGAAAAATGAATGAGGCAGGGTTAAGAGTGGCATCTGAAAGATCAAACATGCCGAAATAGTTGTCTCCTTTGAAAACTTCTTTTTCCCTTAAAAACTACGGTCTTACCAAGACAAGGAAGAGCAGCCTCTATTGTTTTCGCTATCTGAATATAGCTATTTGGAGGATTCAGCGTCTGAGGCATTGGATTTGCAATTATTGCACTTACAGCAGCCTTTTCCACTGACGGCATAGATTCCATCTCTGCGGCTTAAACAAACAAGAGACCTATGTCACTCAAGTAGCACGGAACTAAAACACTTTTAAATTAAAAAATCACTAGCTATTTAGGGGGGCGGACGCTTCTTCCCTTGGGGTTCGACCCGCTGTCGACCCAAAGAGCGATTTTTTGGTCATAATTTTCTAAAAAGTGCCTGAAAACGCCTTTTCGGCCTGTTTTTTCAAAACTTTATTTTTAGTCACTATTCGGAGGGTTTTGACAAAAAGCGAGTTTTTCAGCGCTCCTTCTTCAAAATTAGTATATATTGGCCTTTTGAGTGGCGATAGGGTCGAATCAACAAAGATTTGAGTATCGATTACGAATCTTCAATAATCTGAAATGGTTTGAAAAAAAAACACCAACCAAGCAAATATACTCCTCAATTTCTTCAAAATTCGGAACAAAAATAATTTGCGAAACACAATTTTCTGAAAAATTAAGTGAATAAAGTCAAACAAAACTACAAAAAACTTCAAATTCGTATCGAATGATGCTGATAAGCAGTCTTAAAAAGCATTGTTAATCATTTACCGAGTGACAATTACGGAGAAATTTTGAGCCACATTTGGAGACAAAAGTTCAAAACGTTTTTACGACTCCTCCGTACTGAAACATATAATCGCAGAAGATTAAATATTGACCAAAGGACGAAAACCAGCATCCGAAAAATTAATACTTTTCAACATTTTTAAAAAGCAACTAGCGTTTAACGCACTTCCGGTGCTTCATACTTTTGAAAAATCATACACCCTATTTAACGGAAATAAAAAAGATTTGAGCATACATACTTAAAGGCAAGATTAACAATCCTGAGAGCACCCTCACAGTACCCTACCTTGTGCTTCTAACAGATCAAGGAACAAGAAAAAAGCTTAAACCGAAATTTTAAGAAAAACAGCAAAAGGAATGCAACCGTGGCAAAAGACGGGGGCATCCGACAACGCTTTTTATTACAATTGAAATATAAAAAAACTCCAAGTCGATAAAAACTGCAAGGTTTTTTCATGCTAAAAATGATGAAATCTGAATAGTTTTGGGATACAGATTTTCGTATTTAAAACTCAGAAACAACTTTTAAATGACCAAAAGCGTACAAATGACTTTTCGATTTTTAAAATTTTTTTTTATTGAACTTAATTTTTTAAATTTCATTCGTCCGTACCTATAAAAATTGCTGCCATCAATCGTTTAAAATTTTTGAAAACCATAAAAACGTCATTTCTAGAAGAACCAAAGGCGTTGAGCAGTCTCACTTAGAAATTAGATGAACACCTCCTGAGGGTAATTTGACAGCAACCCACCATAATATTGAGAAACGCTTGTTCAACTAAGTTTTCCGAAACTTTTTAAAACATCCTATAAAAAAATCAGATCTCGGAAACTAAAAGTATTTGAGCATTCAAACTAGGAGATAAAATAAGCTACTCCTGAGAGTGCCCTGACAACACACATATAGCGGGAATTTCATTTTATATGAATTGTTTTATATCTGTTTTCCGAAACTTTTGAAATTATCATAAAAAACGTCATATCTCAGAAATTAAAGTATAAGAGCATTCAAATTTGGAGGAGAGATAGGCTATCCATGAGAGCACCCTATCTTCTGGCTCAAACAAATTAATAAAAATTGCTTGTTTATAAAACATATGAGAAAACAGCAAAACGAACGCAACCGTAGCAAAAGACGGGGGCATCCAACAAAGCTTTTAATTGAACGATAAAAAAATCGAATTCAAAGATTTCTTTTAAACAAAAATTTTAAAATCTCTAAAAATTATTAGGTTAAGATCTTCATTTTATTTCAGAAATGAAATGACCAACAGCATACAATTGCCTTTTCGATATGCAAACTTTTGAAACAATTACATTTGCTAAATCACAGAATTCAAAAAATTGAGATTTTTATTGAAATTAGTTCTTTGTTTTCATTTACCTGTACGTATAACACTTGCTGCTATCAATCATTTAATCCAGCGCTTTTTATTTTTGAAAGATCACATTTTTGTTAGCTTAGTTCCTAGTTTCAAGAAAAGTTTTGAAATATCATAAGAAACGTCGATTTCAAAAACTTATAAAATTTGACGGAAAATATTGAAACTGAGCCCATATCTTCAATTGCTGGTAGTGGTCTGACATGAGCGCACTATATGGAGCCGTCTCATTGGGATACCAGATGAAAACTTCCAGAGAGGACCTGGATAGCAACTCATCATAAGGTTTTGTAGACCTAAAAGTTTTGAAATTTTTTCAAAGGTAATAAAAAACGGCATATCTCAGAAGCTAAAATGATTTCATCACTCAATTTCCGAGATTAACCTGAAAACACCTCACACTATAGGGTTGGTATTTTGAAATTTAACTTGATTTTTTTTTCAATTCAAATAAATTTTGAAAACCATAAAAACGTCATATCTCGGAAACTAAAAGGGCCTGAACAGTCAAACTAGGAGTCAAGAAAAGCAACCACTGAGAGTCCCCTGAAAGCATCCCACTAGGGAAACTTTTAAAAAGTGATAACAAACATCGTATCTAGAAAACAAAAAGGATTTGAAAACTTATACTTGGAGCCAAAAATTGCGACGCCTGAAAACATGGCAGCATCAAACTACAAGGTTAAAAATTTCGAATTTTGAAACTTTTTTAAATGAAAGTTTTCGTAACTTTTTGAAAAAATTATTTTAAACAGTTATGTCTCGGAAACTTAAAGTATTTGAGCTTTCAAATTAGGAGTCAAAAATTGCCACGCCTGAGAAAACCATGTCAGCGATAAACAACAAGGTTGGGAATTTCGAGATTTACACTTTTTTTATATAAAAAAGCTACATCTCGTATTCTTCATCATCATATCCGGTTTTTGATCAGACGGGGTTGACAGCACCAGGCATTGTCGAACTGCATATCTCCATAAAAAACGGTCTGGCGGGTCAGTGTGGGTAAGGCAACGTTCCTTGACTATTTTTCACACAATCTAACAAAGTCTTCTTGGTCTCCCACGTCTTTTGACGGAGGAGAGGAGATCTCCATTTCACTGGCGATTTCAAAGCATGAAGCGGAGGGAGCACGCTCAACATGACCAAACCATCTGAGGCGTCTGCTCCGAAGGACTTTCATAATGTCACACGAGTAGAGTTTATCAAGAAGTGCCGACTGGTAGCTAACCCAGAATATGTTTGTCCCAGATGCACTGGATTGTCGCGAACTATCGACGGTCGCCATTCAATTTTGATTGAACAAGACGGCACTACGCTCGATATTGAGCCACCTTGAAAACTAGAAGTACTTGAGCACTCAAATTAGAGGCAAGATAAGAAACCTCTGAGAGAACCCTGACAAGTTCCATATACAGGGTTGAGCAGTTCAAATTTTGTGATTACTCTTCAAATCCAGGTTTTAAAAAAATTAGGAAAAAAATCACAAAAATTGCCGTAATTCGTCAGCTAAAACGAATTGGGTATTCATATTTCGCGACCAGAGCCGCAATCTCTGAGCAACCCTGACAGCTTTTCATAATTGCGTTGCTCATTTCAAACTAAGAAAAAACATTGAAAATAAAATGAAAAATGAAAACAAATTTTAAGCATTGCAGTATACACACAGGCTAAGCCGAGCTTCGCACCACTTTCGATACAATTCAAAGATAAAAAAAACATAAGTCGAAAAAACTTTTAGTTGAAAAAACCAGGTGAACCAAATTTTTCGTAAGTCTCGATAAAAAAACAACTACAGGCCCAGCTTTAGCTGGAGGTACATGTTTAAAATTGAATAAGTTTGCTATAATGATGCGACACGAAGTGTGATTTCAAAAATTGGACTTTTCCTGAAACAATAGTTGTTTCTTTAGTACAAAAAGTGAGAAAAGTACGAACTTTTGGGATGATCAATTTCCCAAGATGAAATTTATCTTCAAGAAATTAGGGAATCACTGCTTCTGCAAGAACAATTATTGCAACCCGTTCTTTCAATGGAACTTTTCATGCAAGATTTGATTATATGATTTTAAAAAATTCAAAAAGGTTCTAAAAACGGTCGAAAGTTCTAACAAACGCTCAAAGACTTTACAAAATTCATAACGCTTTTCTGCAAACAGCAGGTTATGGCCGCTTAAGCAGAGAAGACTTCCAAAGCCGGGTTTCTCGATTGAACACAATCTGAGAATTGGCCCGATAGTTTTCGCGTAAAGACCATAAGTTTCCAAAAAACTATCCAAGTTCCAAAATTTGACTTGTTAAAAACTTTTTAAAAACAAACTGGGCATAGCTAATTTGAAAGGTAGGCTTTCAACAACCTGTTCAGTCGATTAAACCATTAATATCACGTTTCCCTTGATATCAAAAATTTGACGATTCGGAGAATCATAGCTTTTTGTGCGAAAAACTTACACAGAAACGTTTTTCAGAAGCGATTCACACAATCTGCATCTTCGACAACCCAAAATCTCAGGTTCGAGAGGGTAGTTTTCGAGAAAAGTCAAAAACTTTAAAAAACGGTCAAAATGAAAAATTTTACTTTTGAGAGGGCCAAATATTTTGGAATCAAACTACTGTGCGTAGACGCATAAGCAAATAAACTTCCCAAAGCCCATTCTAAAAATTTAACCCTAAAATCTCAGGTATGGCATGGTAGTTTTCGAGAATATTCAAGTTTATTAAGAAAAAACTGTCAAAAAATCAAAAATTTGACTTTTCAGAGGGCTATAACTTCTTGTGTGAAATGTTTCGTTAGTGTGCGCTAATGCAAAGGAGCTTCCCACTACCTGTTATCTCACTGAAATCACAATATCAGATTTGGGAGGTTAGAAAAGTCGAATGGATTCACAAAACGATCAAAAATCAGAAATTTGACTTTTCCGAGGGCCATAACTTTACGAGCAAAAAATTTAGGTTGTAGCCACTTTTACAAGAGAGTTTTCCAAAACAGTTAAATCCATTGAAACCAAAAACTCATATTTAAGAGAGGTAGTTTTCGAAAAAACGAAAAAAAAATCGAAAACATGGGTCAAACACTCCGCCACATTTTTTCGAAGGCTGTAGACAGAGGAATCAAGTAAAAAAAACTTCAGGAGAGTATGCAGGCACACAGAAGAATAAGCGGTCTTTCAATTGATACTCTTTTTTGAAAATCAGTAGAAGTCTCTGAGAAAAACAAACAGATTGGTAAACATACAATCAACTTGAAAAGTGCTAAAATTGTGTTGATCTTGAAAGGTCCCAAAGTTAGAAAATGAAGCCGATGAAAAAATAGGCTGAAAACTAAAATCTACTAAATTAAAAATCAAGATGATTAAATTGTGCAAAATTGAGCATGTCAGCAATGAAACTTACCATTTCTACTAAATTGACTATTCTGTGAACAGAGCTATCTACGGGAAACAAAAATCTGAGTAACTTATGAAGTTTACACCCAATGATAAGTTAAATATTTCTGAAGGTACAGACAAAATTTAAAGCAAAACAATCATTAGACAGTTAGAAAAGAATCAGTGGATGCAAGGAAACAGAAAGAAAATACTGCTTTGGTTTTTGAAAAAAAAACTGTTCGAATTTAAAAATATATATATAACCCTAGAGCTCTTTGAAACTCTTTGCTTGGAAATTTTTTGAAACAATAAACCCAATTTCAGAAACCTGGATTGATAGATAATTTTTATTTCCTGTGGGAAATCTGAAAATTAAAATTTACTTCTGAAGTTTGTAGACAATCACGTTTTTTATGAACTTTTTGATACTTTTTTTTGCTGTTTGATACTAAATTTTACCTTCCTTTCAACAAACGAGATAAACTGAACTTCAAAGACATCGAAAGTCGAACCATCAAGTTTGAACTTGTGCAACAATTAAGAATTCCTGTGAAAAAAAAAACAAATAGAATCATCAAGACCTAAACGAGAGTCTTCACTGACACTTATTCGATGACTCCATCATTGAACAAAAAATTTTCGAAAGTTAAACCAGAAACATCCGCGCCCCTGCTTCTTTTGCGAAACTCGTCATGAGCCGTAGTAGACATAAAACAACTATAATTGAAACTATTAACTCACTTATTTTTTCAAGATGTGAGCCTTATTTCAAACAATTAGTCTGTCATCATGTTGAGTCGAGTTAGAGGAAATCGTTGATATCCAACTTTGCCTGTAAATTGCTTCATAAAATAAGAGATATGAACATTTTGTAATTATCTTTTTTTCAATAGAAAATTACAGTGTGTGTAAAAACTATCAATTAAATTATACTGGCATTGCTCGAAATTGAATTGAAAAGTTAAAACATAATCAAAAAGTCATAAAATAAAACACCCGATAAACAAGCAGACAAAACTTTTGAGATGAAACTCATGGAACGACAAAAACCGATTTATTTACTGATTAGCCTTACTGTTTAGCCTAATTGTTGTGATAAACTTATTAAATAGTGTGTCTGTTCAAATTTACCTCTTGTGTAATTTCATATTAAATGCGCTGGGCTTTCCTCAGACTTATCTTACCAAATCTCGCCGTCCCAGCCGTAGGCGAGTGAAGTTTCTCTGGCGTAAGTAGACGCAAGAAGGAGTAAGCCGGTGAATCGACCCCCAAAACTACGTCAGGTTGTACCACTCCTTTTTTTCCATCACTTTTGAATTTTAAATCCTAAATGAAATTATTCATAAATCAACCCAAAGAGCTTCCTTTCTCGCCCCAGTTGTCTGTGATTCAGGTAGATGCCGCGATTCCAGGCAAGACGCATCCCTGAGTTCTCACAGAAACTAGTTATCGGCACTTCAAGGACCAAATATATCAAACCAGCTCTAGTAAAATCAACAATTCACTGTTTATGCAATACACACTAAAGCGCCTAAATACAGTAACAATAGTTGCTGGATACAATGACAACAGGCTGCATCCACAAGAATTAGAACAGCAGTGGAAAAGCTTGATTAATCTCGTCACTAACAAGTTTCAGCCCAAGACACTGATCATCCCCGAAACAATTCAACTGTATTAACACTGAAAAAAATCGCAAAACTTATATTCATAATCATGTGTTGTTTAATTTGATAAATAGATTTGTACACCCACATACACTCATTGTTTCACCTAACCTCAACTTAAATCTAACCCCTCAAATGCTCTGCCGTGATGGCATCCATTTCTCGTTCTACGGTTATGATTTCCTTACTAATTTTCTTGCAAATATTATCTATAAATTCTCTCGCTAACTTGACACCGCCGTCCTTCCTCATATGGCTACTCAAACACATTGCCTTATTTGTAGAAACAGCTTGCGAGGAGATGGTGTTTGGTGCTTCACATGCCTAGGCTACATGCATGAAAAATGCAGCGGCCTAGCCCGCAGCAGTGATCATTAAGACGATTTCAGCTGTCATCGCTGCACCTCCCAACTTCATTCAGATAAACGACAGGCATGAATACAATCCCCGACCCTAGCTACAACCACACTCTCCCAAATTCACCCTCACCCTTCCACTGCCCCAAACTCACTAAACTCAAGAGAACCCTCCACTCTAGAAACTAGAATAACACAAGACCCATGGTCAAACCCCTGTCCAGAACTCATAGAAACCACAAGGAAAATATACTCCGAAGTGGTCCAATGGAAACCGGTCTTCATGATCTTATCAAAAAAAATTGGTTACAGTTTCATTGAATAGAACACTGAACAGCCTAGTAGAAAAAAAAACGAAAATGCCCTCGCAATGCACGCAGCAATGATCTTTCCACACTTACTACTGTGCAAAACAAAGTCCGAAAATGATGGATCTTTATCCAAGACAATAGCAAAGCGACTTAAACAATGGCAAGACGGAGACCTGGATGGCTTATATAACGAAGGGAAGGCGCTGCAAATGCGCTTGACAAAAGGAAGTAGAAGAAAAACTGAAACTGAAGCACAACAGTTCAATAAACTAACGAAAACTGTAAAATATCAAGCGCAATAGCAAAACTAACGGACACATCCAAAGGCATTCTTTCGCTCGACGAGATCGTCCAAGGTAAGACAGTAGAACAGACTCTTATAGAGAAGCACCCACTATCTGAACCAATTGATGAGAATTATATTACACCAGTCTCAAATGAAACAATTCCCTTCCATCCATCGACATTTGATCAGATAAACAGTCAACATATCAAGAAAACAGCCATGAGAACGCATGGATCTCATGGACCATCTGGCCTTGATGCAAACGAAGGGAGACGAATTTTAACACACTTCGGGCAACAATCAATTGAGATTTCAAAAAGAATTGCTAAAATTGCTAGAAAATTGGCTACTGAAGAACTAAATCCAGAACTAACGGAACCATATAACGCATGTATATTAATACCCTTAGATAAAAATCCAGGAGTAAGACCCATAGGCATAGAAGAAGTTATGCGTAGGATATTAGGACGAACAATACCCAAATGCTTAAAAAACGAACTCACGTGGCTCGGTTCAAACTATGAACTCTGTCTATGACAAAAATTGGGCATTGAATATGCGATCCACACGCTAGGAGATCAATACAGCAAAACCTCCGCCGATGCTTTTTTATTGATAGATGCCGAAAACGCTTTCAACTCGCTAAATCGAAAGCTGGCATTAAAAAACATCGAAAATACCTGCCCATCTCTTTTAACCGCGATTAAGAACTCCTACTCCAATCCATCTTAACTGTTCGTTAACAAAAAAACGATCTACTCTCAAGAAGGGACAACCCAGGGGATCCACTAGCAATGGCCATGTACGGTCTAGCCATAATACCCCTCATAAATAGAACACTGAACAGCCTAATAGAAAATAACGAAAATGCCTTCGCAATGCACGCAGCAATGATCTTTCCACACTTACTACTGTGCAAAACAAAGTCCGAAAATGATGGATCTTTATCCAAGACAATAGCAAGGCGACTTAAGCAATGGCAAGACGGAGACCTGGATGGCTTATATAACGAAGGGAAGGCGCTGCAAATGCGCTTGACAAAAGGAAGTAGAAGAAAAACAAACTGAAGCACAACAGTTCAAAAAATTAATGAAAACTGTAAAATATCAAGCACAATAGCAAAACTAACGGACACATCTAAAGGCGTTCTTTCGCTCGAAGAGATCGTCCAAGGTAAGACAGTAGAACAGATTCTTATAGAGAAGCACCCACCATCTGAACCAATTGATGAGAACTATATTACACCAGTCTCAAATGAAACAATTCCCTTCCATCCATCGATATTTGATCAGATAAACGGTCAACATATCAAGAAAGCAGCCTTGAGAACGCATGGATCTCATGGACCATCTGGCCTGGATGCAAATGGATGGAGACGAATTTTAACACACTTCGGGCAACAATCAATTGAGATTTCAAAAAGAATTGCTAAAATTGCTAGAAAATTGGCTACTGAAGAACTATATCCAGAACTAACGGAACCATATAACGCATGTAGATTAATACCCTTAAATAAAAATCCAGGAGTAAGACCCATAGGCATAGGAGAAATCATGCGTAGGATATTAGGACGAACAATAACCAAATGCCTAAAAAACGAACTCATGCCGCTCGGTTCAAACTATCAACTCTGTCTAGGACAAAAATGTGGCATTGAATATGCGATCCACACGCTAAGAGATCAATACAGCAAAACCTCCGCCGATGCTGTTTTATTGATAGATGCCGAAAACGCTTTCAACTCGCTAAATCGAAAGCTGGCATTGAAAAACATCGAAAATACCTGCCCATCTCTTTTAACCGCGATTAAGATCTCCTACTCCAATCCATCTAAACTGTTCGTTAACAAGAAAACGATCTACTCTCAAGAAGGGACAACCCAGAGAGATCCACTAGCAATAGCCATGTACGGTCTAGCCATTATACACCTCATAAAACTTTAATCAGTAGACAACGTAACCCAGAAATGGTACGCAGACGACGGAAACGCAGTCGGTAATTTAAGCAATCTACGAACCGTCCTCGATAAAATTGTATCACTATGTAAATTTTTTGGCTACCATGTTAAAGCATCCAAATGCCAACTCATTGTCAAAGATGAAAAACTCGGTGAAGCTGAGAAAATCTTCGAAAATACAGGAATCACTATAAAAGCAGGCGCCCGAGTGCTTGGTTCAGTTATAGGAAGAGAATCTGAATGTAAAAAATTCCTCGAATTTCAACAGAATGAGCAAATCAAAATTTTGAAAAAATTAAAGAAAATCGTCCAAGGTAAGACAGTAGAACAGACTCTTATAGAGAAGCACCCACCATCTGAACCAATTGATGAGAACTATAATACACCAGTCTCAAATGAAACAATTCCCTTCCATCCATCGATATTTGATCAGATAAACGGTCAGCATATCAAGAAAGCAGCCATGAGAACGCATGGATCTCATGGACCATCTGGCCTTAATGCAAATGAATGGAGACGAATTTTAACACACTTCGGGCAACAATCAATTGAGATGTCAAAAAGAATTGCTAAAGTTGCTAGAAAATTGGTTACTAAAGAACTAAATCCAGAACTAACGGAACCATATAACGCATTAAGGATTAATACCTTTAGATAAAAATCCAGGAGTAAGACCCATAGGCATAGGAGAAGTTATGCGTAGGATATTAGGACGAACAATAACCAAATGCCTAAAAAACGAACTCATATCGCTCGGTTCAAACTATCAACTCTGTCTAGGACAAAAATGTGGCATTGAATATACGATCCACACGCTAAGAGATCAATACAGCAAAACCTCCGCCGATGCTGTTTTATTGATAGATGCCGAAAACGCTTTCAACTCGCTAAATCGAAAGCTGGCATTGAAAAACATCGAAAATAACTGCCCATCTCTTTTAACCGCGATTAAGAACTCCTACTCCAATCCATCTAAACTGTTAGTTAACAAAAAAAACGATCTAATCTTAAGAAGGGACAATCCAGGGGGATCCACTAGCAATGGCCATGTACGGTCTAGCCATAATACCCCTCATAAAACTTTTATCAGTAGACAACGTAACCCAGAAATGGTACGCAGACGACGGAAACGCAGTCGGTAATTTAAGCAATCTACGAACCGTCCTCGATAAAATTGTATCACTAGGTAAATTTTTTGGCTACCATGTTAAAGCATCCAAATGCCAACTCATTGTCAAAGATGAAAAACTCGGTGAAGCTGAGAAAATCTTCGAAAATACAGGAATCACTATAAAGCAGGCGCCCGAGTGCTTGGTTCAGTTATAGGAACAGAACCTGAATGTAAAAATTTCCTCGAATTTCAACAGAATGAGCAAATCAAAATTTTGAAAAAATTAACGAAAATTGCTAAAAACTCCCCCCAAAACGTTCATGCCTGCTATACTAAAGGAGTTCTTGCCACGACAAGGCCTAACACTATGGAAAACTTAGAAGTATGTGAAAAGATTATCAAAGAACAATTAATATCTAACCTGATCGGTAAAGACACATTGAAACCCCAGTTCCGTGAGATATCTTCCTTACCCCTTAAAATGGCCGGCCTGAACATCAAGCTGCCATCCTATCATGGAAGCTATCTAGATTGGTCTAAGGAAACAGCACTAGTACTGGAATCTCAAGATCCTTTTACAGCAAAAACACAGCAAGAAAAAATATGTACGAAAATAAAAAAAAAAATGAAAACTGACAGAACAAACTGAAAGAAAACTCATGAGCTCCTTAGATGAAACAGATAAATACGCAATCGACCTGGCCTCTAAAAAGGGAGCCTCTAACTGGCTCAACGCTTTACCATTGAACAGATATAACTTCAACCTGAATAAATCGAAATTCAGAGATGGTATTTACTTAAGATTCGGATGGGAACCAACCAAAACCCCTCTCACATGTGCATGTGGTGCTAATTTTAACTTGACACGTGCGCTACACTGTGCAAAGGGCGGTTACACACAAGACACAATGAAATCAGAGACACATTCGCCAACCTCAAGAATGAGGTTTGCCATGACGTCGAGATTGAGCCGAAACTTCAGCCGTTGCAAGGCGAAAATTTGTCAACAATTTAACTACAACTGAAGATGAGGCACTACTTAACATTAAGGCAAACGGACTCTGGATTCACGACTTTGCCGCGCTTTCTTTGATGTGAAAATTTTCAACCCCCATGCCAAAACATCTCGAAAACTGCCTAAAGACGCATATAAATATCACGAAACGCTGAAGAACTCCAAATATCAGCAAAGAATTTTAAACGTAGATCAGAGTAGCTTCTGCCCGTTAATTTTCAGATGCACCGGTGGCGCTGCTCCAACAGCCACGCGGACGATGCAACGATTAGCCGAAAAACTAAGTGAAAAAAGACAATAAAGCTATCCAGAATCGATAAATTACATAAGAACTAAAATAAGCTTCACGCTCCTGAGGAGCTCTATACTATGTATAAGGGGGTGCAGATAGCTGCGCAAAGTTCAATTTATCGACAACTCCATTAGCGCTATTGTAGAGGAAGGACGGCTAACATAAATTAACATTACGACGATGCATTTAATGCTGATTTATGACTTCATTGATAAATTGATACAGCTTGCTGATATATATGAATTTTAATAACGCTGGTATGGCCCTATCCAGCTTGTGCACGTACGGTAACTAAACGGAAGGGCCTGTTTTGTAATTTAGTTTTTTTTTTTTTTTAATTTTACTGAAAATAATAATTGCAGTTTTAGCTCTTAATTGTACAACTGTACTTCACATTCACATAATACTACACAGAGGCGAAGCTGAGCTTCGCACCAGTGGCGATACAAATAAAGAAGCCGCTAAGTCGGAAAAAAAATTGAAAAAGTCGGTAAACGTAGATCAATCAAAAAGAATAAGGCTAATTTAAAAAAAAAGGCGCACAGACAACAGAATAAGAAACTTAATCGAAAGAAAACTTACCAAGCGGTTCCAAAGCTAAAAACACCTCAGCAGCAACCCTTTAAGGCGAAAAAAAATCAATTACACTTGAGATTCATATAAAGTTCCCTCTTCAAAACTCAAAATCCCCCTGCTCAAAAAAAACAAACACTTCATTTAATTTTCAAATGAAATTATATGAAGCCACTAAGCTGATATAATAAAGGCGAAACTTATGAAGCAGAAAAAAACTTAAGACTAATAAAAATGGATTAGCCCCCTCACCCTTATAACACAGATACGCACACAAAGACTTTTTCTCTCGCCGAAAGACGCAATATGAGGTCATAAAGCTGATATAAAATAGGCCGACATCTATCAAGCCGGAAAAAAGGAAGTTGAAAAAAATTGTTGTCATAAAATTTTGAACTATAATTTCTTTCAGGTTTTTTAGCATTTTTCGCAATCCAGAGGTGAGCAAAAAAATTAAGATTCTGGTAAAACCACTCAAAATTAGGTCACTAAGTCGGTAAAATATAAGTCAAAATCATTTGAGGCAGAATAAAGTTTTTGAGCCAAAAAAAAAGATATGCGAAATCAAGATTAGTAAAACTACTAACAGCAGAAACACAGGAACAAATCAGAACACTTAAAGCAACTACAATGTCGGTTATCCCAAGGGTAGTATATAAAATAGGAGTTGGCCATTTCAGTCATCCAGTGAATTGGTGGTTACTTGATTGGTAATTAAACAACAGCTGTCTTTCGATTTCTGTGTGGAATGCTACTATCTTAGTTATGTTCCAAAGGACGGAAGCTCTCTTCGGGCTACCAGCCTTTTCATCAGATCAGAAAAAGAGCTGGAAGCTACCTAATGAAAATTTGGATAAAGACTACGTATGGTAACACTTCAAAAAAATCTTTCCGTAGGCTTGAAAAGGTGCAGAAAACATCTTAGACCATAGTTCTTTCCCACATCGTATAGGGGAATATTGTAGAGGAAAATATTGAAAAACTTTTCTGACAAAAATAACGAAAAAACAAAAGCAACTGATAATTTTCGTACCGACAGCACTCAGAAAAGAAGTTGTATCCAATATTGCTTGACTGGATAGAGATTCAAACTCATGCACAAGTATCTTAGGAGTTTTCCGTAGCATTTCATGAAGAACAGACGAAGCTGGTGAATCACCAAGGTCACCGTGCACATTCGCGAGATGGCTGCAGAAAATTCGCAAAGACATGGGACTCTGGTTATCCAGCATCTCCACGAAAACATGGGCGAATGGATTGAAATAAAGGGGTTCAGACTTGAACAACTCGTACATCAGAAACAACGCGGTAGCTTTCTGATGCTTGGTTGGAAGCATATCAGGATGCCTCAACATGAAATCGATTGTTTGTGCAACTTGATACGTATCAGCATCCGATACGTAGTGATTTAACGTAGCCGAAATATTATCAAGACTGTTTTCACACGAGAACTCGTCTCCTAAAATACGCGATAGGGCAACTGCTACTTTAGCGCATCCAATTTCTTGCGTAGATGAACTGAAGACCATAACAAATATCTTGAAATTAAAAGAACGATTACGTTTGCAGCATAAAAACCTTTATTTCATAGAGGTGTGAAACAAATAGCAGGTCGAAGCTTATCAAAAGAAAAGGTCAATTAAAGGTGCCCTTCTGTATTACGACAGTCCGTACACAGCTAATATAGGGCCTTGCCAACGCTATAATAATGCATCGGCGAACACTTTTAGAATATTTTGTCGCATCTAGAGACTTGTCAATTGAAATCTACCCTCATTAGTTTATCAATTTTAAGAATTGTCTAATTGGTTTTTTATTTCAATTTTTACACTCCCAGGTGCATAAAAATGAAATTTAAATAAATCGGCTATTAATAGACTGTAACATTCGCCCGGAAGTACATATCGACGGAAAATAAAGCCAGGTTCTAAAACGACTGGCTAGCGTCTAAACACAGCCCTACATGCTTTGCACCGTCTCTGCCAAAGCCAGTTCTTTTGGTGGTCTTTCTAACATCGGGTCGACAAAAAAAAACGTTACTGTTTCCAGCTTCGATCAGAACGCTCTAATTAACTTAATTATATGCAAAAATGTGAGCCCATGGCTGGGTCTCAGTATCCCCAGACCACGAGATCACTCCTTAAAACAGGGCTATACTTATTTATCAAATTACTACTGTTTTTGCTCAGTAGATAAAAATCATCATCTCCATCGAAGATGGATCAATCCTTTCCCTCAACTCCTAGCTTCTCATGATCTGAAAACGAATATAGATGTTATTTATTCAATTCAGGACATCTCCAGGAAGCTAAAAGTTTTTTAGAATAATGTTCAAGTTTGACATTCGACCAAAATGGACAAAAGTGCAAAATACAATTTATGGCCGCTGACCTTGAGAATTGGCAGTTTTAGTAGATAAGCGACGTTGAAGAAATTTTTGCCAAAAAGTAAATTTCAAACGTTTTCGCAACTATGTGCATCGTCAGGATTTTTACAATAAATTACTCTAAATGACGATAAAACATCAATTTACAAATGTTATTTACAATAAATCACATACAATTTGGTTCTAAACCATCATGATAAAAAATTAGCCAATCACAGTTGACCTCTAAATTACTATTAAGATTAAAATACTTTTAACCTCTAAGATTAATTAAACATTTTAAAATTAATTTGTCTGGAAGTTTCTGAGTCATAATTTCGATTTAGACATGTACGTTTTGAATAAAAAACCAAAAATATTTTGGGACTAAATTTTCAGTGTTAACTCCCTGCTCCTAAACTCATCGCGCGTGTTCAAGCCCGGTTTCTCTTTCCTGATATGTATTGCCTCTAGTGTTAGCAATTTTGTTTGGTTGTTTGACCTATCTATAATTTCCCAACTAAGATCTGCGCTATTTCCATCAAGTTGGCATTGCTGAAGGTGGAGGCCTACCGGTGAGTCTGCTTTCTTATGTTCCTCAATTCTAGTGGTCAAATGTCGAACAGTTTGTCCGACATAGGTGGAAGTGCATCCACTACATGACAGTTTATAAACCACTCTTGACTTGAGGTCATTAGAAAATGCTGACTTCAAAGATGGTAAACATGATTGTAGTTTTCTTGTGGTGAAAACCACTTGAACGTTCGTTAATTTTCGTAACCTGTTAGCAAAATATTGGCTCTGGTTACCTCTATATTGCACCATCAGCATTGGGGGCTTCTCATCCTTTGTTGATTGAACTGACAAACCCCTGTCACTATCCAGGGGCTTGCCTTTACCCTCGATGATCTTGCACTAGGCGTCTGAAGCCATCTTTGCGGACCAATTTTCAGGGTACTGATTTGTCAGCCATTGCGCCCTATTAGTTTCCATAGCCTTATCAAATTGCTCCCAGCTAGATGTACTCCTAAAAACCCTGTGTACAGTGCCTTGGATAACACTACGCTTATACTGAGTTGGGGCGCAGCTTCTATAGTTCAGTATAGTCCCTGTATCTGTTGGTTTTTGATACCAACTGCAAGTTACACTCCTATCCTGCGATACATTTATGTTCAAATCCAGGAACGGCAAATTCCCCTCCGAATTAGTTTTCTCTAGAGTGAACTGCAAATTTGGATGAAGAGAATTGGCGGCATCGAGAAGACAACTCGGCTCCCCTCTGACTGTTCTAACAATGTCATCCACATACCTGAGGAACAATTTCACCTGGGGAGTATCCTTCTCCTTGTTCTTAGCTCGGCAGCAGCTTTCACAGTACCAGACTATCTCGGTTATTGATGCGTATACGTCATCGGATATTTTTCCGCATTTTAGATGATACCAGTTTCGGCAACTCTCGCATTCAACCCCCTTTGATCTATATGTGACTTTCCTGCTGCAACATGGGCACAAGCCGTTTTTGTCATTAATTTGCTGTACCCCCGTTCCCACCGGTATTTGTTGTCGTAGAGCAAATTCGTATTCTTTCAGCCATAAGTTTGCCAGAATTACAGCGAGGGACGCGCCCATTGCTAAACCATCAACTTGTACATACCATGAATCATTACACTTGAAATATACTTTGCCTTTTCATGGTTGCTCTTTGAATTTCAGGAGGAGACTCCTGGCTGTACAGCTTCTGTAAAGCAATTTCAATTGCCTCCTTCAGGGGAACGTTGGTGTACAAACTTTTCACATCAAGAGATATTATGGTCTCATCCGGATCTAGAGCAATGTTTTCTATTTTTTCTCTAGCCTCTTTAGTATTGGTTTCTATATTTGCTCCATCGATGTTGTCAAAAAACTTTGCAAGCATTTTGTTAAGATTCTCATACGAGCTGCCGGGAAGTGATAGTACAGGTCGTAGGGGTGTCTCATCCTTGTGTACCTTAGCTAAACCGTACAAACGGGCGGGTTGCCCCCCTGTTGATCTCATCTTAGAATATAACTGATCACTTATCTCGTCTCTTTTGTTCATGGCTAGTAATTCTTTGTTATGTTCTTTCTCAATTTTCAGTATCACCTCATCAGTGGTTGCATCTTTTTTCACAAACTGAGCAGATTGCAACAAGGATTCCAGCTTTGATTCACATGTTTGTTTCCTCATTATGCAAAAACCAACCCCCTTATCAAAAGGCACAGCCAGCAATCCATTATCTTTGAGATATTTCCTCGTTTTTTCAACGGCTTTGTCTCTTGGGGTTTGCCGTACGTTTTTTGCATATGCCTTTGCCGCGGCTTCTATTTCACATAACGTTTCACCAGATGTTTTTTGATTTTTCAATTGTGAGAGGAAAATGTCGATATCCGCCAAAAAAATGTGTTTCGTTAAATTTGTCTCTAAATGGATGCTTGGGGCCCATTGATAGCACTTCATATACCCATTCAGGCAGTTCAATATTATCAAGTACCTTAACTGATCGCTCATTTCTCCCCCCAAGAGGTTTATCTTGTCTCTCGGACAGTTTTTCTATTTGAGGGGTGGTGGAACCGTGAATTCAGCCTTCCGGAAGGGATATAAGGGTGTTTTTCCCCGGATTCAGGAATCCGGCGGGGTCTTGAGACCTGAAATCAAACTATTTCAAACTAACTTTTAGCTTCCTGGTCATGCCCTGAATTGAATTTAAATAACATCTCGATTCATTTTCTGATTATGAGAAGCTAGGAGTTGAGGGAAAGGGTTGATCCATCTTCGATGGAGATGATGATTTTTATCTATTGAAGAAAAACAGTAGTAATACAATAAATAGTCCTAGCCCTGTTTTTAGGAGTGACCTCGTGGTCTGCGGATACTAAGACCCAGTCATGAGCTCACTAATTTTGCATGTAAGTAAGTTAATTTGAGCGTTCTGGTCGAAGCCGGAGAACAGTAACGTTTTTGTCGACCCGGTGTTGAAAAGATCACCAAAAGAACTGGCTTTGGTAGAGACGGTGAAAAGCATGTAGTTTTGTTTAGACGCTGGCCAGTCGTTTTATAGCTTAGCTTTATTTTCCGTCGATATGTACTTCCGGGCGAATGCTGGGTGTTATTCTTTTTTAACATCATGACCGGCAGAACCGTTAGCGAGCACTCCGCGCCAAGTGGACGCTCATAATAAATTCCTTAATAGGCCCTAACCACCAGGGCGGAAGGGTAGTTCGAAACGCAGAAGCCTTCCGGATTACCGTGAATAGCTTTTTAACGTAGTTAAGACCGAAAATTCACGAATCAGGAAGGGTGGGGAGATTCGCGATCCCGTCATTTCCTGAGTTGTCCGTGACCAAAAGCACTTGAAGTTATAGAAGAAACCAAACATTAAGTAGTATAGTACCTAAGAAAAAAAACACAAAAAATAACCGAAAAAACCAAAAACAGTAAAAAAGTATACAATCAGTAGAAATCAACCTCCAAGACGAGATGTTATCCGACCCTCCCGTTTGTTGTTTTTGGATATTTTGTTGTTACAGGCATTTATATCAGTCAGGATCGTTACGATCATTTTTGTGGCCCGTTTGGGGTGCTTGTACTGTAGGGTTATTTGAGTTAATGCTAATTTGCGCTCAATCCGGAAAGGTCTCGGGATTAGTGAAGAAGACTGATCCCGCAAGCAGTTCAAGGAGCAACAAGAGGGGGCTCAACGACATCATCAATCGGCTGTTGGTTATCGTTAACAACTTTGTAATCTTTTTGGTACAAAAATTAAGATATTAATCTGTGGGGGGCTCGATAGTGCTGCACTATAGTGACCCTTCACCGAACTGCGAATTTCCGAGTTAAGCATAAACCCGGAGGGATATAGTGTTATAAGTATTACTTTTTATACTGCTTGTATTAATACTCCCATATCGTTTTTCAGTGAAACATACCGTAAACAGACCGGTTTTTAAGGTCAAAATGGTGATTTTTTGATCACCCCACAAATCGCAATTTTTGAGATACCAATTTTTTTTCAAACGGAAAAAAGCGCTAATTTAGTGATTTTATTTACCTAACTAGTGAAACTGGTTAATTTTTTTTCGGCCTGGTTGGAACTAATTGGGTGCCAAAGTCCAAAATTTCGTGATCCCCCACAAACCGCGATTTTTGAGAT